TGAAGTATTCCAATAATGCTTTGATAATTGATATCATTTTCGTTGAAGATATTCTGGCATATTCTGAGCAAGAGCAGAGCATGTAAACGTATTAAGTCGGTGGAACAAAGATTGGAAGAATGTCGATTGTATGCTAAGTTTAGCAAATGCGAAAGTTAGATGAATCAGGTGGCATTCTGAGATTGGTTATATCTGCTTAAGGTATTCAAATGAATTCTTAAAAGGCAGCAGAATTGAGAAATTGGAACAACCACAAGCCATAATTGAGATTCGGAAATTCTTAACTTATCAGGCTATTTTGGATGGTTGTGAAAGAATTTTTAGTCATTGCTTTATCATTGACAAGACTGTTGAGAAAGGAGGTTATGTATGAGTGGGAAGGAAATTGTGAGCAAAGGATTCAACAACTGGAGTATTTCCTCACTCATGCACGTATTTTAGTAATCCTAGAAGATAGTGGTAATTATTGGTTTATGGTGATGGTACATTAAATATTCTTGGAGATGTATTGATGCAAATGTTAGGGTGATTGAATATGTTTCACGACAAATGGAACCTAATGAGATGAATTACCCTACTGGTGACTTGGAAGTCACGATTATCATCCTTGCTGTGAAGTTGTGGAGACATTATATGTTGATAAGAATGCAAGATTTTACAAATCAAAAGAGTCTCCAATATTTGTTTATTCGGAAGGATTTTGATATGAGGCAACAAAGGTGGATTGAATTACTTAGTGATTATGATGGTACGATCAGGGTGATCGTGAATTGTTGTAGCTGAAGCACTTGGTGAGAAGACTACGGTATGATTAATGTCTGGCACGTTTGCCAAGAGTATCATCTTGTGGATTGAAAACCAACGGAAGAAAAATTAAGAATGGAAGATCGAGAAGAAGTTATACTTGTTCAATTTCAAGTTAGGCCTGTTTGGTAAGGTCGTACTCGAAACTTAAATGTTTGACGAGGAATTTAAGAATTAACCAAGGCAAGGAAAGAAAGGAAAAAGAATAAGTACATGATTCGTGAATCAAATGGTATGTGGATACAAGAAAGTATGAAGTATGTACCGAATGCTGAGGATTTAAAGCAAGCAATTTTGGACGAAGTACACTGTACAACTTCTGCAATATTCCAAAAGTAATGAGATCTAGTATACCATTTGACGTTTTTATTGGTCAACAGATTGAAGTAGAAAGAAGTAAACCTTTGGATTGAGACAGCTATTTTCTGTTTCGAAACGGAAATGGAAAGATATTACATTGGACTATGTGTACAAGTTTCCTTGTATACAAGATGGTTACGATCGAATGTGAGGTGTTGATTGGTCAATGTACCAAGTTAGTACATTTACTCCAGGGTTGAGTAACGGTACTTATTTGTTTTATAGAAAGAAGAATTGGTTTACGGAACTGCTAAGTTTCTTAAGTATGTTGGTTGCGCAGTTTCCGAAGTGAAGCCATAAGGTTCATGAAGTGTGTCATGTGTGTGTTTTGTTGACTTGTGAATGGAATATTTCTGGGTAGAGAAAGATTCGATCAAGAAAGAGTTTTAGTAGACCCTGAGACTATGGATGAGTCTCCTCAAAGTATTCAGGTGATTAAGTTTAACCTGAAGGTAGCCAGGAATGACAAAAGAGATCAACAGATGGATATGCCACTAATCGAGTATATAAGGTAAATGGTTTTATTTTCGAAGTGTTCACCATAGAAAAGTATAATTTGGATTGGAAAAAGAAGGTCCTGAGAATTAAGACAGAGTAAGTGGTAAAAGTTTTGTGAAGAAAATCATTCAGTAGAAAATTGTTGGAGAAAGAGAATCGGATAAGAGAGATTTACCGAGGTTGGTATGAGTAGATGTTTGGATTGGTTGTTGGAATTTCGGGGACGAAATTCTATAAGGAGGGAAGATTGTCACAGCCCGTTCCAAATTATTATATTCGTGGCTGTGAATGGACGAAATTGCCCTTAAGAAATACTAAGTTTGTGAAGCTCAGGTTGCTAATTATCTAGGTTCCGAAGTTTTGAAAATAAAATGGAATTTAATAAGGATGGAACTTAGATTTTTAGGTTAAAATGTTAAAGTTTGGTGTTTGGAGATGGGAATAAGGACCACGTGGGATCCCCACATCCCTCAAAACCCTCCTCATTTCCCGTTCACTGTCTTTCTCTCTCCTCCTTCACGATTTCTCACTCTCTCTGTCTCTCTCCTTCGAACTCACACGGACCACCACCAAAACCACCCTAAATCTATACCAATGTCAAGTTTGAGACCACAATTGGAATCCTGAGGACTTCACGATCACGTTGGTATCCATTTCAGGTAAGTTTTACTTCGGAAAACCTAGATTCTAAACTCCCCATGAAAGTGTACTGTTCATGAGCTTTGAATTGGTTGATTTTTAGGACAATCCAAGCTCATAGTGAGCTTAGTGAGGTCCCAAGGAAGCTCGGAGTGCTTCGTTGGAAGTTTTTGGACGTAAGAACACGGAGATCGATAAGTTCAAAGTTTGGCCGGAGCTTTCGAGGCATTTTCCGGCGAATCCCCGGCGAGTTAGGCGTCGAGGTAGGTATCAATCTCTTCGTCTCGTCAAGTACTACAACTTTCCTTTTTGTTTCACTCAATTTCGTTGAGTATTGAAGAAGTTATACTCATTTGAAAAATACCCAGTTTCCGGCGACCTCCGAGGCTTTCGAGGCAGTTTCCGGCCAAACTACGGCGAACTAGGTGTTGGGAAAGGTACCATTCTCTTTGTCTCTTCAAGGGCTACAACTTTCGTTTTTGAATCACTTGATTTCGTTGAGAAATGACAAAGTTATGGCAATTTGAAAAACTGCCCAGAAAACGGCCGCCGGAAAAACCAGTCCGGCGACCCAAGGAAGAAGAAGGTGCTACAGTAAAAATAAAAAATAAAAATAAAATTATTTTAAAAATATGTCGACGTCCGTGACGTCGAGTAGATCACTGTGGTATATTCATATACCTAAATTGAACACCGTATGAGAAAGTTATTGAAGATTGTTGGTTAGGTGTTCAAATAACGTTTTATAGTTTTCACATTTAGGTGAAAATGTGAATTGATGATCCGACCGTTGGATCGTCACCAAACTTTGATACGTTGTAATACGTAATATTTGAGGATTATTGGAACTTACGGATTGGGAATCCGAGTTACGGATCTTCCGGAATTGGAATTGTAAGTCCATAATATAAAATGTTAACCGTCACTTAGTTTTGGAAATTGACGGAGATCCGACCGTTGGATGGTAATGAAATTTTAGGATGTTGTCCTAGAGGTATAATGTGGACCTCTGGAAGTTATGGATTTAAAATCTGAGGGGTGGATCTTCCGGATCAATCTACGTAGTGACGTATTTTATATAAGTTATATATTCTATCGATATGAATTCTGAGGTTGGAATTGATTATTGTTTTAGGCGCCGATCGTCATGACGCCTTGGCGTATTGTGCTAGGGAGTTGTAGGGCGAACTCCAGGTGAGTGGGCAGTTTTGTTTTCCGTATATATATATATACTTAACGTTTTCCCAGAAATTGAAAATGCATGAAATTATGTTTAAAATGAAATGCATATGAGTTATGTGGAAAAACGGGAAGTGAAATACCATGCATAGAATTGATATGAAAAGTATATAGAAATGTGAGTTGAAATGCCATACATGAATTAATATATGATGCATATGTATGAATTGGTGCGGTGGACGCACAGGTAAGAATTGATTTATGATGCATATGTATGAAATGGTGCGGTGGACGCACAGATGAGTATTTAATTACTGTTATGATGATGATGATATATATTGAGCTCAAATCCTGCACCATGGTTTAGTGCTTATAGTATTCACCGCATCGCACGCTCGCCTTGGATCCAAGTAGATGCTAGTCGTACAGTCCACGCGGAGTGGGTACGACAGACCAGTCGCGAGAGTGTTAGTGAGATTCCGACTGGTGGGTGACCTTAGATTATGTGCACAGATGATTTATGAGAAGCACTAGAGCGTAACTTGTGTGCAGAAGGCCGGACGGGTCACAGAGGTGGACTCCGGTAGAGTGATAATGATAGATTTTGAGCTCTAGGTTCAACCGTATAGGGCTATTAGAGGGCCTACGGTTGATTACTTTCTTGCACCTGATATGATTATGTTGATGCATTCATACCTTATTACTGTTGAGATGATGTGGCATGGCATAATTAATATGAGAAATGTTGAGATGACATGGCATGGCATGATTGATAAAGAGATAATGTTGAGATAGTAAAAATGAAGTTTTGAGAATATATATGTATATTTATATTTTACATTTCTGGGAAAGTATACAGGTTTTACGGAGAGGGGTTACAACGTTTTGAGAAATGTTTGGATTTGGAAAAGAATTGTTTTACTGACCCACTCAATTTTGGTTTTGCGCCCCTCCAGGTTCAGGAATCACAAAGGTGTGGTGACTACGAGGAATTCGACGGTGTTCTGACAGATTGGACAAAATTAGGACTCACCTTCGGGTGTATCAATTTAAATTGTATCTTAAAGCTTCCGTACTGTGCAAATGGTTACGTCACTCTCACGTGACGGCCAGCATGCCCTCCTTCGGGACGGGGTGTGTCATTAATCTTTACCATGTCCATTTGTTATAACGTTTAAAATAATCTATGGATATTAACTTAAAAAGAATGAAAATTTTTAACTAACATAAAAATTAAAATCCTAAAATCTTAAAATTTTACTTTCCCACCCCCAAACTTATATCACACTTTGTCCTCAAGGTGTGGAAAATAAATAGAAACTAAAAAAAAAACAAAACGCAAAACTGGAAAAAAATAAAATAAAAGCCTAGACTAAATACTAGAAGAAAAAGGAAAATAGAAAAGAAACAAAGAAATTAAAATAAACAAATAATAAAACAAAAAGAAAAGAAGGAAAAAGGACAAATAGAAACTAAAAAAAACAAAACAAAACGCCAAACTGGAAAAAAAATAAAACAAAAGCCTAGACTAAATACTAGAAGAAAAAGGGAAATAGAAAAGAAACAAACAAATTAAAATAAACAAATAATAAAACAAAAATAAAAGAAGAAAAAAGGACAAAGAGCACCTGGATTCGAACTGAAGACCTGGTGCCAGTGAAAAGAAACACGGACCAACACGTTCAAGTCCACACTTGTTGCAAAGTGCAGTGACAACTACAATATGTGCTGATGCAGCAACTTCCTGTTTGAATTGAAAAACCCTAGCAGCTGCTACATCTTTGCCTTTACCTCGAGCCCAGAGTCTCAAACGGCTCTCTATCTCTCCGTGTCAGACCATCCCTTTCAACAGACAAGGCTGGCCACATGTCATGCATCCATGTGGTTAATTTCTTAGGATTCCAAATCAAAGGCTAAGATAAACCCCATTTGCCCATCTCTCTCTCTCTAGAAAATCTGAAAGGGCTTTTAATCTCTCCATTGTCTTATTAGTTTGGCACCCTTCTTCATACAAACCTTCCATTTTTTTTCTTCAAACCTATCTCGTTTCCCTTAGACCCCATCTCTCTCTCACTAACAACCCCAAACGCACATCCATATCAGAAATAAGTCTCCCATTTTCCTCAGCCCCCCTCTCTCTTTTGCTCTCAGACCCCATTTCTCTGTAAAATGAAAAATATCTCCCCTTCTCACCCTTAGCCGACCACACCCACGGCTCGGAAAAAAAAACCAAAACAATCGACTCTGCCATGGAAATGATGGTACATTGAAGCTCCACACGCCCTTCAAAAGTAAATCATCGCCCATGTCCTGCTCAATTTATATGTCCAGCTAATGATTTTAGATAGAAAAGAACAAAACTAACACATGCTGATCTATTCCTTTGCGAGGATCCTCGGGTGCACAATGAAAAATGTCACACCATCCATCTGTAAGTACAACTCAGTCACCGCAGCCCTTGTTTATTTTGTGTTCTTAGTAACTGGTAGAGCACCATTATGTTGTGATTGATGCATGTTGGTGTGCTGTGTATGTCGTTGGAGTGCAAAAATCCACGAACTAGAAGCTGAACACGGCAAAGGAAAGGAGAAAACAACGAAGATTGTGCAGATCCAGGTATTGCAAAGGTAAAATCTTGTTCGCTGTCAGTGATGAACCCCAATCTGTGAAACAGTGGCTGCATTACCGTTGCATGTAATTATAATGGTGTGGTCTTTGTACAGTAAAGGTGGATCACTGATAGATCCGTGGGAAGGAAAGTGGATGGACAAACATCAGCTTCAATTGACAAAAACGGCACAAGCTTCCAGAGCCCAGATCGGTGCATCTGGGAGGTAAAATTTCATATCCTTGCAATTTCCCACCCCCTAACTTGCATCGTTGAATGAGCTCATATTAATTGCTTTAAATTTTAGCATAGTGTAGATGTGGTTGATGTTAATGTAGACTTGCTGCTGGGTGCATGACTCCAGTATAAGATAAGCTGTCTCTATTTTCCCTTAGTTTCCATGAGTGCAACCTGCAATTAACCAATATATGCGAATATTAAAAACAGAGCAAAAATCAACTGCGTAAATAAAGAAAGCAAAATATTTTTGGATTTTTCACGTTCTTATTATTATTATTTTTTATTAAAACTTAGGTATGTAAATGCATCTAGAAATTTAACTAATAAAAAAAATCAAACGAAAAATAAAATACGGAAAGAGTTTAGAAAAATTGGGTTGCCTCCCAGCAAGTGCTTTATTTTAAGTCTGTAGCTAGACGTCGCAGAAGTCCAGTGGCTAGATCACTGGTTCCTTCAGAGTCAAAGACTCGCTTGCACCAAATTTCCATATGCATGGTTTAAGTTGATGTTTGGTAACCTTAAATGGGAAATCTTTGCCCTCAGCCGTGATCTGCACATTACCATTTTGAAAAAAACCTGCTTAAGCATATAAGGTCCTTTCCACCGAGACTCTTGTCTCCCTGGAATTAACTTGAAACTGGAATTTAACAACCACACCTTTTTACCAGGTTGTATTTTCTTAACATGTGGGCTGTCTGGCAAATTTTCATGTTTTTTCTTAATGTTAATCGGCCGGTCATCATGTAACACCCTTTGCTGCTGTGGTTTAGGACTTATGCAATCATGAGTCAAATTCGGGGGCTTTATGGACAGATGGTCAGTTAATGATCTGGTTATAAACTCGGCACTTAGTAAACCATCTAATGCATCAACACGCATGCATTCTTGCTTATCACCTGAATGTATGCTTGCTTTAAACAACCTAAAAACAACTGTTTGATCTTCGACCTGAAATGTTAGTGTTCTGGCTTCAACATCAATAAGAGTCCGGGCAGTTGCTAAGAATGGGCGGCCCAAAATGATGGGTGTTGTCAAATCCTCATCCATGTCCAACACCATAAAATCAGCTCGTAAATAGAAATTTTCAACCTTCACAATAACATCTTCAATGATCCCTCTAGGATAGGTAATTGAACGGTTAGCCAATTGAATAATGTTGGAGGTTGGCTTTAGCTCTCCTTCACCTAAACGTTTAAAAACAGAATAAGGCATTAAGTTTACACTAGCACCTAAATCAATTAAAGCACTTTTAAAATCAGAATTGCCAATAGTACAAGAGATAGTAAAACTCCCAGGATATTTTTTCTTTGGAGGCAATTTATGCAATAGGACCGTACTGCACTATTCTGTTAGAATCACTTTTTTGGAATCCCCAAGCTTCTTTTTCTTTGAACAAACATCTTTCAATAACTTGGCATAATATGGAATGTTCTTGATTGCATCAATTAACGGTAGATTAATCTGAACTTTAGACAAAGTCTTCATAAAATCTGTTAACTGTTGATCTTTAGCTTTAGGCTTCAACCTTTCAGGATAAGGCATAGGAGGCACATAAACACGTTCTGCACTTTTTGTGGTATTTTCGGATCTATCTTGGGACTGCCCAGAATCTACAAAAATTGCAGATTTAGTTTGGGGTAGTTCTGCTGCCCGCGAATTTCCAGTAGAATTTTCATGTTTGTTGTCGTAACTTATGCCAGACCGTAAAGTCCGTACAACATTGCATTCTTTTCGTCCTGTTGGATTAGGTACTATTTGACTAAGAAATGTACTCGGAGCTCTTTCTGAAACCTGCAACGCAATCTGCTCAATTTGTTTTTCCATATTTTTCATTGATGCATGCAGATTTTGGATTTCTTGACTAGTAGTATTAGCTAATTTTTCAATTGCTATCTCCCAAGTAGCCTTAGGTGCAGCAGGTTGTTGTATCTGTTGTTGAAATTGTGATTTAGCATGATGATCTCTATCCCACTTTAAATTAGGATGATCTCTCCAACCCGGGTTGTAAAAATTTGAATAAGGGTCATTTCGGGGACGTTGAAAATTATTAAATGAATTAAACTGCTATGCTGTAAACTCCGGATAAGCATCTTTATGTGGACAGCTCAAAAAATCATGATTTGTCATGCTGCGAATGCTGCAAGCAGCTTGTAAAGGCTGCTGTACAGCAACCTGTGAACCTGAAATTCTTTGTAACAACATGTCAGATTTGCATCAAATCTTTCAAGCTTTTTATCCATTTTTTCAATTTGTGAACCATTAGACATCTCAAAAACGGATATAGATTGTGGCTGCTCAACTGCCCACTGTTGTGTATCTGCTGCCATTTTTTCAAATAATAAACAAGCCTCTTGTGCAGTTTTATCCTTGTATGAACCTTCACATGAAGCGTTGACAAGAGTTTTTGTAGTCATATTTAACCCACTGAAAAATATATGCATTTGATATGTACTGTTAATACCGGAATGTTGACATTTTCTAATCAACTCTTTGAACCATTCCCATGCATCATGAAACTCTTCATTTGGTTTTTGGGCAAAAGATAAAATCTGAGTTCTCATGTCAAGAGTCTTTGAAGCTGGATATACTTGTTTAAAATTTTTTCACTAAGTTGGGCTCAAGTACTAATGCTTCCAGATGGGAGTGAGGAGCCATCTCCTTACTTGATCTTTTAGAGTATATGGAAATAAACTGAGCTTAATAGATTTAGTTGAAAATCCTCTCACCAAAATATTTTTGCATCCCATTAAATGTTCTGCAATATGCATGTTAGGATCGTCGGTTGATAACCCATGAAATGTAGGTAGAATATTCAACATGTACTGCTTTATTTCGATTGTAGACCCTTCATCCACTGCTGGACAAGTAATGCAGCTTAGTATATTAGTGTTGTGTGCTGTCAGTGAATCACCCAGGAGCTGACCAGTCTTTGGAATTACAAATGCCATTGTTTCCTTATTGTGCAGATCCCCATAAAATAAAGACTACAGAAACGTCCCTTGCAGAGAAGGAACCCACTGCAAATTTTTCTCCCTGCGTCTCCTTAAAGAGTTCTGGATCAAAAGGAAGCAATTTCTGCACTGTTGAACGGGTGCTGACCATGGACAGATTATCTTTATAATATGCAATGTACTGTTGTAATCTGAGAAAAATAAAATAAAAAAGAAAATTAATTTTTTTATATGTATAAATTAAACAGCAATAACTAATTGAAAATCTGATTAGTAGGAATTATTTTAAATAATCCCTAGCAACGGCACCATTTTCTTGATAGGGATTTTACTACACATGTGAACGGGCTAAAAACTCCTATTACACTTGCAACAATCACAAAGTTGATGTAGTATAAACGAATCTCGCAAGGTCGTTCTCCATAGAGATTATTAAATAATTCAAAGCAAACTAAATTCCAATTAATTATTGTAAAGTAGAAATTGAGATGATTGATTTTATATACTTAAATTAAAAACGAATTTAACTATTAAAGATAAGACAATATGCAATATTGAAAACTAGAAGGAAAAGAAAACAGTTTTGGGAGAAATCAAATTAAGAAAACACTAGGGTTCCACCATCACCTAGCAATCCTATGAACTTTTACCAAATACTTATGATCTACACATGCCACTTTGAAGGTTAGGTTTTCCTAATTTATATTCTACTTGGAACCTCCAACATAGAATGTATATCTAACTTGCAACCCGTCTGGACGTTCGGATCAAATCTGAACATGAAAGACTCATTATGCTTTATGAAAACCCTTTAAAAAATCATGCAATCCTTAAGACGTGGTGTTCATCCTAAGTGAAATTACAATTATTTATCACAAGAAGCCAGTGTTAATTTCAGGGAACCTTCTGACCAAAATTGCATCAAATTACTTTTCTAAACATCCTAATGGTGATCAAGCATTAAGACAATTAAATAGTTTTAATCCCGGTGATTAATAGTTCAAAGTATGCATGCAATCAATCATAAGCAATTAAATAAAAATCACATATGCATGCAAAGGCTCAAGGTTTCTCCCTAGCAAAAGAAATTAGTTACGCATATTCATAATTAAAATCATTGAAAAATATTATTAAGAAAATGATTGAAAACACCTTCAAGTAGAAAATCTCCAAAACCCTAGCAATTCTCTCTGTCTCCAAAATTGCTTAAAATAAAGCGTAGTGAAAAACTATAAACGGCCAAGCAATATATTTGCTAAGCCCCCACACAAACCCTAAAAATAGGTCCTTTATCTCCACTAAGAAACATAACCCTAAATTAAATGGTAAAATTTGCCTAAAATCTGAACAGCCACGCTTTGGACCCATAAGCTATTCCAGAATTGGCCCAATATAGCTAGATTTTATGTTTGGAATATTCTGAACACTTCTCCAGAGGGCCACGAACCCATCCGAGGTCATCTTGGGCTCCAAAAACGCAATTTAAGTCCAGAAATGTCATTTTCCAGCACCGCGCATTGCTCTTTATTTTATCACCAGAAAATAACCGCTTGGGGGAAAAATCCCAAATTTTGATACAATCAAGCTAAGTGACTCATGAACGTGCTTCGAAAGTACTCCAAAATTCGCCTTTTTGATCCTGTTTTGCTCCAGAGGAAGTTGAATGTCTTATATTGAAAATACAATTCAAAGTATCAAAATTCTTCCAAAATATTAACCAAAATATACTAAGATTAGGGTAAAATATATAATATAAAATCTACTCATCACAGTCTAGTAGCATAAGTACTAGTTATACAGTACCATAAGATGTCCTACAATTATTTTCTTATGTCAGAACCGCCGAAATCCTCAAGGCCACCAACAGCAAGCTTACCTAAAACCTGGAGGGGCGCAAAACAGAAAACGTGAGTGGGCAAAAACAAATATTTTACAAAACCATTTCATTTATCAACATTTCTAACCCCTCGCTGTAAAATATGTATAATTTTTCCCAGAATCAGAATATAAGCATATACATAAATATATATGTAAATATATCAATTCAATTCATGCTTCACATAATCATATTTATATGTATGCCATGCCAAGATATAACATAGTAAGTAATTCGGGTGAGAATAACTTCATAGAAATATAACATATTAGCCGGAACCCCTATGGTAGTCTGTACGGCTGAATTCATAGCTCAAACGTTAAACTAGCCGTAGTCACTATGATGACCTATACGGCACAATACTGCACAAGAGTCAGAACCAAATGAAAAGGTCTGTACGACAATACTGGGTGTAATATAATTATGCTCAATACTACTCTCACATAATAGCTGGGCGATAAATCGCTAGTCACCTACGCATCGGAACCATAGTAAAGGTCTGTAGGACAAGTCTGGGCACCTAAATTGGATCCAATATGAGCATATGGTGTGGGATGTGACATTATAAACACTGTGCCATATCTCTGACTAAATCACAATCACCCAATGTGCAGTTTTGTGAGCTCAACGTTATTCAATCACATATGACATCATCGATAATTCACATAACCAAACATAACTCACCTGAGCTTACCTGAGTGTCCATTGCACCACAATTATATATATAATGCATCATATACCAATTCATATACGAAATATAAATTCATATGCATGGCATCAAGGCATAATTTCATTTAAACATATTTTCTGGGAAAATATCAAGTATATAAATATATACTGAAAACCAAATGCCCACTCATTGGTATGACGAAGGGTCATAGCCCCTAAGTCACCCTTGAACACGCTCGTCCTTGGGATAAGTCTCACCTATATGCAAATTAATTATAAAAACGTTATTTAAAGCACATAGACAAAACTAGCTAATAACTTCTCAAATTATGCTCAAATTGGGTGTTTGAATATACCAATGTGATCTAGACAACTTCACGAACATCCCCATATTTTTAGAAAAAATATCCGACCACCCACGCGTCAGTCAAGGCACGGCCAGACACGCCGCCCATGCGGGGGCACATGCTTGGCACACTGACGGTGGCAATAACGACGTTAGGGAATATTCCGTCTAGAAACTAACGGTGTCACCTTACGCCGTTAGCATATTCTGTCAAAACTGACGGAATATACCCCTCCTTCCCCGACGAGTCACCGAATGTCGGCGACTATTCGCCAGTTTCTAGAAAAACTTCAAATCCTGATTTCTCCCTCATTTCAACACCAAACTTAATGAAATTTGAACCATTTTAAAGATCTCACCAAGACGAATCAAACCATACTTGTGTCAAGTCCTGAAACCGCCGGAAAAAAGCCTCGATAATCTGGCCAAACTTAAAACTCATCGTTCTTGCTATTCTGACGTCCAAATTCTTCCAACGAACCACTCCTAGCCTCATGAGGACCTCCTTAAGCTACCTATAAGCTTGAAATCCCCAAAAACATAAGATTTTACATTTGCATGAATAGTACCTCAAATCAGAGGTTATGGTTTCTCGGGTTTTTCACTGTTTCAAGTCCTAAAAATGACATATATGAACTCAGTAGCTTGTAGGGAATAAGAATATCACCTTAAAAACGTCGATCCGTGCATGAAGTGTGAGTTTGGTGCTCGTCCGTACGTGAGGGAAGGAGAGAGAGTACGGGAGAGAACAAAGAGAAGGATAGTGTGTGTGTGTGTGTGTGGTCCACGTGGGTCACCAATCCAAAGTCACAAAATGTAACATCTAAGTCCCCAAAGTATGACATAAACACACTACAATTTCAACGTCCAAAGATAAGTCCGTCATTTTACATCTTCGATAGTAGTAATTCGGGACGGGCTATGATAATCTACCTACCATATAAATTTTCATCCTCAAAATTACACGCAACAAATACATCCACTAATAATCATAAAATAGAAGTGGATACATCTCCCTCATCTGGTCTTGTGTCTCCCAAGTAGCTTCTTCTACTGAATGATTTTTCCATAATACTTTCTCCAAACGCACAGTCTTATTCCTTAGTTCCTTATCCTTCCAATCCGAAAGGGTCACTGGTTCCTCATCATAAGTCAAATTCGGATTAATTTCCAAAGGTTGAGGAGGAATCACATGAGAAGGATTTGAGACATAATGTTGAAGCATCGAAACATGAAACACATCGTGTACCTTGGACAACTCTCAAGGCAACTCAAGCCTGTAAGCGACTCGCTCGGTGATCATATAAGGTTTAATGTACTTGGGACTCAACTTGCCTTTCTTTTCAAATTGCACAACACCTTTCCAAGGTGATAACTTCATAAATACCCAATCACCTACATTATACTTCTGATCAGTGGCATGCTTGTCTGCTAAGCTTTTTTGTTGATCCTAGGCCACTTTCATGTTAGACTTAATTATTTGAACATTTTGAGTAATCTCGTCCATAATCTCAAGGCCCACTAAAACTCTTTCACCTACCTCTGACCAACATAGAGGCGTACGACAAGATTTCCTGTAAAGTGCCTCAAATGGTGCCATACCAATACTCGAATGGTAACTATTGTTGTAGGTGAATTCCATCAAATCCAAACAATCATGCCAACTATCTCCAAACTGCAGCACTGAAGATCTCAACATATCTTCTAGTGTGTGAATAGTCCTCTCAGATTGCCCATCTGTCTAAGGATGATATGCCATACTATAAAGTAATCTCGTACCAAGAGGTTCCTGGAATGCTACCCAGAACTGGGAAGTAAATCTAGGAACCCGATCCGAGATAATATAAACTGGAACACCATGGTACTTCACAATCTTCGATATAAATAACTTACCTAATCGGCTTAACGAATATTTTTCCCTCACTGGAATAAAGTGTGATGACTTAGTAAGCCGATCAATTACTACCCAAATGCGGTCATATCCATTCTGTGTACGAGGAAGCTTGTACACAAAATCCATAGTAATATTTTCCCATTTCCACTGTGGAACAGGAAGTGGCTGCATCAATCCAAACGGCTTCTTCCTTTCAGCTTTAACCTGTTGGCAAATGGCATACCTACTCACGTATTCAACAATTTCTCTTTTCATACCCAACCAATAATAAAATGGTCTAATGGTATGATACATCTTAGTGCCTCTTGGATGCATCACATATGCTGAAATATGTGCTTTATCCAAAATTTCTTTCTTTAACTCTGCATTATTCGGCACATACATTCTGCTTTCCTGCATAAGCATACCATCAGTTTCTTGAATTTTGAAATCTTTCTTTTTGCCTTGATTCCTTGCTTGAATTAGTTCCTGGGTCT